TTAATGAGGTCAAGATTGCCATCATCTGCTTGGGGACATGCTATAATACATGCAGCAGCGCTAATTAGATTGAGACCTACAGCTTATCATAAATTCTCACCACTACAACTTGTTTGTGGTCGAGAACCAAGTATCTCACATCTAAAAATCTTTGGTTGTGCTGTATATGTTCCCATTGCTCCACCCCAACGAACAAAAATGGGTCCACAAAGAAGGCTGGGAATTTATGTCGGGTTTGAATCCCCCTCTATAATTAAATACCTTGAACCATTGACTGGTGACTTATTTACGGCTAGATTTGTGGACTGTCACTTTAATGAAACAGTATTCCCAGCCTTAGGGGGAGAGAAAGTGGACCCACATAAGAAAGAAATTGAACTCATTTGGAATGCAACACAACTGTTGATGTTAGACCCACGAACAAATATGTGTGAACAAGAAGTTAAGAAAATTGTTCATTTACAAAGTGTTGCAAATCAATTGCCCGATGCATTTGTAGACACAAAGAAGGTGACAAAATCACATATACCAGCAGAAAATGCCCCTGCACGTATTGAAATCCCAACTGGTAATAAGGCCATAGAAAATGAATCTCAAGCACGCAGAAAGCGTGGAAGACCACTTGGTTCAAAAGATTCTAAGCCAAGGAAACTAAAAAGATTGGATGGAATAGAAAATGAGACTAATAATGTTCCCCCGTCAGAAGGTCAAGAAAGACCAAATGTGGATGAAAGTAAAGAAAATGATGATAATCCAAAAGGGGACGAACAAGAAGACAACCCTACGGGGAATGAACAAGATGTTCAAAACATCGATAACAATGAAATTTCAATGAATTACGTCTCTACAAAGACTCAGTGGAATAGGAAAGATGTTATCGTTAATGAAACATTTGCAAATTCCATCGCAATCGACATCGTGTCTGATGAAAATGATGTTGAACCAAGAACTGTAGAAGAATGTCGACGTAGGAGTGATTGGCCAAAGTGGAAGGAGGCAATGCTGGCTGAGTTAAAGTCACTTGAAAAACGAGAAGTTTTTGGGAAAATAACCCTTACACCGGCAGGTGTAAAACCCGTTGGATACAAATGGGTATTTGTAAGAAAACGTAATGAGAAAAATGAAATAGTTAGATACAAGGCAAGACTTGTAGCCCAAGGATTTTCTCAAATTCCAGGGATTGATTATGAAGAAACATATTCTCCAGTGGTTGATGCAACTACATTAAGATTTCTGGTAAGTTTGACAGTCACAAAAGGACTGCAAATGCGATTAATGGATGTAGTGACTGCGTACTTGTATGGGTCACTCGATACGGACATTTACATGAAAGTCCCCGAAGGACTAAAACTACCAGAAAACCACAAGCCTAGACAACTGCTTTCCATAAAACTAAAAAGGTCACTTTATGGATTGAAACAATCTGGAAGGATGTGGTACAACCGTCTGAGTGAATACCTTATGAGAGAAGGGTTCAAAAACAACCAAGTTAGTCCCTGTGTTTTCATAAAGCGATCACAATCAGGATTCGCTATCATTGCAGTTTATGTTGATGATTTAAATATCATCGGAACCCCAAATGAACTCGAGAAAACTGCAAAATACTTGATGAAAGAATTTGAGATGAAAGACCTTGGGAAAACTAAATTTTGCCTTGGACTACAAATTGAGCACTTGAGTCATGGCATTTTTGTCCATCAATCAAATTATACAGAAAGAGTTTTGAAACGTTTCTTCATGGACAAAGCAACCCCAACCAACTTCCCAATGGTTGTTCGTTCTTTGAATATGAAAAATGATCCATTCAGACCCCGAGAAGAAAATGAAGAGATTCTGGGTCCAGAAGTACCATACTTAAGTGCAATTGGAGCCTTAATGTACTTAGCTAACAATACTAGACCCGACATAGCTTTCTCTGTGAATTTGTTAGCCAGGCACAGCAATGCACCAACATATAGGCATTGGAAGGGAGTTCGACACTTACTCCGGTACCTACGAGGGACACAAGACCTTGGTTTATATTACCAACCAAAACAAGATGCTGCTCTCATTGGGTATGCAGACGCTGGATACTTATCAGATCCTCAAAATGCCAAGTCACAAAATGGATATGTATTCACTTATGGCGGCACTGCAATATCATGGAAATCAACAAAGCAGACATTGACCGCGACATCATCAAATCATGCAGAGTTGATAGCCCTCTATGAAGCAGGACGGGAATGTGTGTGGCTGAGGTCGATGATCAGTAATATCCAAAAGGAGTGTGGAATGAACGCAATAACAGAAGACCCAACCATCATCTTTGAAGACAATACAGCATGTATCGCTCAAGTAACTGAAGGATATATTAAAGGAGATAAAACGAAACATATTGCCCCAAAACTGTTCTTCACACATGATCTGCAAAAGGACGAGGAAATAAATATCCAGCAAATTCAGTCTTGTGAAAATCTTGCCGACCTTTTCACCAAATCACTTCCTTCGAAGAAATTTGAACAGTTAGTTCACAAAATCGGAATGCGACATCTTCGTGAACTATGCTGAGATCAGGGGGAGTATTATATGTACTGCACTCTTTTTCCCTTCGATCAGGTTTTTATCCCACCGGGTTTTTCCTGACAAGGTTTTTAACGAGGCAGTATACCAAAGCATATAATACAATAATATTGGTGTACTCTTTTGGCTATGGGTCTTATCCCATAAAGTTTTACCTAACAAGATCTTTAGTGGCATTCAAGGGGGAGTGTTAGAAGATAAGTCTAATAAGTGAATGCCAATTATTGATTTGATTACACAATGCTCATATAGGTCCAAACACTTGTGAACTCATATGGCTCTATGTGAGTAATTATTGTATTATTAGTGTAACTCATGGCTATAAATACAATGCCATAGAAGTAAGAATACAAGGATAACACTACAACAATTTCACCCATCTTCTTTCACTCTTTTACTCCTTTTATTAATCAAAACTTTTCTATCGGTAAATTCTTTAACATTTTAAACAATCCAAAATACGAACTTTGATGTTAAAACCGGTATGCCTTTCTTCCATAGCTTGAAAACATAGTATACGTTTTTGAATAAACCAATTATCATCCACCCAATGAGCAGTAATGCAAAGAAAAGGTTCGCCAAAACTAGAAGTCCATGTATCACTTGTAAAACTAACACGACCATCAAAAGTACGAAATAATTCAATCAAACCACTCCTATACTTATAATAAGAAGTTTGTGTATAACGTCTTAGGGTATTTCGGGGGACACGAGTAAATGCAGGTTGTAATGCAACTTTATTAAAATGCTCAACGTTTGCATTTTCACCGTAACTAAAAGGGTATTCATTAGCAATAACTAAAGTACTCATTTCATCAATCATTCTATCTTTATTATAAATGAAAGGTGTACCTCCGCCGGGTTGGTTCATGTATCCACCCAATTGTGTTTGGACGCCACCCCCCGAAGGACGGGGGCCATTTTCGAACAAGTCGTGTTTATTTTGCAAATGCCGACTCAAGGTTCCGGTTCCATCTCCCGTTTTCCAATTATATGACTTGACATTTGCACCTAGCGCCTTGCAAACTAGGCATGTACACGTGAACCTCTTTGGTTGACCAGGTTGCCATCCCGGGGGTGTGACCTCAACTCGTTCAAAATGTTTCCACACCCAAGAAAAATGTGCTCGACCTCTACTTTCACCGCCACCACCTTTCATAAATCAAATTATTAAAATTAATTTTTAAATGCTATTCATGAAAATAAGCTTTTAAATTTTAAATATTTTAATTATACTTATTTAAACGCATTTTTCATGGTAATTAACTAATTGTAAATCATAGAAAATTGGAAACTAAACTAACTTTATAATCATTAATAATAGTTTTTTTAAATATTCATAACAATAAAAATTTAATTAGAAATTACCTTGAGATGAAGGTTGAGATGTTGGTTGCGATGGAGGTGGCATAGTTGAACTTGATGATTGGTGGGACTCGTGGGAGAAATGTTGTGGTGGAGACGTTTGAATATTTTGCCTATCTCCTAAACCATAATCTCCATATTCATTGACAAATTGGTTTAAATTTTCCGTATTAATTTCATACGGAAAATTTGCACCACCACTCCTTTGGCTACCACTTCGACCACCACTTTGACTCCTTCCCATTCCTCCTCTTGAGCTCATTTTTTTTTTGTATGATTACTAATTATAATATGGAGAAGAACTTTTTTTTTTTAGAATCTTAAGAATACTAATAATAATATTAAGGAGATTTTTTTTAACAAAAATATAACTCTATATAACACTTGAGAATTTGAGAACAATAAGAATTTTTAAGTAAGAGAGAAAGAAAGCTTGAATTTGTGTGGAAATTTGAGTGAAATGGAATTGGTATTTATAGGAAAAATAGAATGGATGATCATACACTTAAAAAACTAGCCGTTAGATACAAAAAACTAGCCGTTTTTTTTTTTAAAATGGATGTTAGGCCGTGCGGGCCGTGCGGGTCGTGCGAATTGTGCGGGCTGTGCGGGCCGTGCGGGTTGTGCCGGCCGTGCGGGTTGTGCCGGCCGTGCGGGTTGGGTGGGTCATGCGTGCGGGTTGGGTGGGTCATGCGTGCGGGTTAGGTGGGTTGGCTCGTGCGGGTTGGGTGGGTCATTCGTGCGGGTGGGTCGTGCGGGCTGGGTTGTGCCAGGTGGGTCGGGTTAGGTGGGTTCACGGGCTAGGTGTGTCGAATTAAATGAGTCAAAACGGGTTGTGCGATTTGGGTCGAATCAAACGGGTTAAACTGAGCTGGGTTGAAATGGGTTGTGTCGAAAATTTTGGACCCACGACACAACCCGGATTAAATCCGAGCTGTGCCGGGCTGTGCCGGATTGAAACCGGGTCGGACCCACGTGACCCACCAGCCGTGCGAGTTAGGGTGGGCTGGGTCCAACCCGGCCCACTGGCCACCTCTACAGTTGCACATCATAAAATGCATCAGAAGTATAGTAAACATTAAAATTAAATCATTATTTTTGAATAATGCAATATAACGAAACATAGCCTTTCATTGCAAACAAGAAATAAATATACAAAATTGCCTAAAACTGCCTACCTGGCTCCCAAGAATCCAAAAACCAAAATAAAGATCAAGCTAAACGGGACAATTGGCAAATAAGCAAATAACCTAAAACTATACAAGGATAAGAAGTTGCCAAGGAGGCATAAGCAACTTCATTGCAAAAGTTCTGCAACTTCCTGAGATACTTAAACTACCAAAATGTACCAAAACAGAAGCCAGCATTCTCCTACACCGGAAATACTAGTATATACTAACCAAATAAGGGTAAACGGCTTCAAGAACTCCTATAGATCAAAAGACTAAACCTACCGCAACTCTAGCTAATCTATTGTATCAACTTCACCAATAAGTTGTGTACAATCTTCATTTCAGGCTAAAGATGCAAGTTTTTGACAGTTGAGCTCCTAAAGAACTTCATCTCTATCAGTAGCAACAGCAGCTTCAATAGATTTCGCAGCAGAAGCAACTTGATTCTCATCAAGCTGCCCCTCATCATTCTTATCAGGCTGATCCTCGTTATTCTTATCACCTTTTGTCTCATCCTCACTGTCAGAATCATCAGATTCAGCACCTGACCACTCAGCAGAATAGTCAGAGCCTTCATCATGTGGGGCTGCTGCTATCTCTTCCGCTGTTAAATCAACAACCTCAGCTCCATCATTCAACTCTTTTGGTGTAGCACCAGCACGTCGAGTTAAGATAAGATAATGTGCTACTGAGTTGAATCCTGATTCAATGACCTACAAAAGGAACATTAGCACCTCGAATATGTAAGAATGGAACTTTCAAAATCATGCTTCCCTTCAGAGAGCAGTTTTTTAGATTGAGGCAACAAGTCACGGATGCACATAACAGGTTAAGTAGGATTGGGCATGGAAAGGAAAACAAGCAAACATGCATGGCTTAGGTCTCCCATAAGTTTATAGGGAGCAATGTTCAAGCACTCAACAGTCAACACTATCAACAAGTTTGCAAAAAAGAGTAGGAGAATCAAAGATAATTCTAAGAGGTCTAAATTGAACCTTGGAGTGTGGAATATTAATTGGATCCCATCCCTTTGTCCGGCGGCAGCGGCTGCAGTTACATATGCCTCGACAAGCAGGGCATGACCAAGTTGGATTTTGGCGAGCTTCCAGAACATTTTCTCCATACCTATAGACATGTAGTGTAGCACAAGCACAAGCACAACTTAGGATAGTCACTCAAAAATAAATGTAAAGCCAACAAAGATAAATGTAAGTTACTAATTTTACAGTATTCTCAGTCATTTATCAATCAAGCTTTTAGAGCTTGAAAACAAAGCAGTAATTCGAAAGATCAAATACCATACAAAACAACTGAGAAAAAGCATAGCCATCAAACGTTAAAATACAACAGATGCAAGACAAAACCGCGTCTACACTTCCAAAGGAAAAAGGCTGATTGCCTATAGAAGCATCCCTTATACAGGGTTGTGCAAGATTATATAAACATCTTCTACATAATGTGAAAAAATTCACCAATTGCCAAAAAGTACTAAATCTCAAGGAACTATAAACTTGTTCTTTTAACCCCACTATTTTTCAACCCCTAAATTATTGACCATATGCATGCCTAACACATCATACAATAAAGCACTCTTTCTCTACACCTTAAGATGAAAACACAAAAGATGAGGAGCAATAGTCAATATGCAAAATTGGCCGGGCATTTGTAGCGTATAATTGCATTCCTAAGAATATTATCTGGTAAGTTAGGGATTGAAAATCAATTGTACACATAAAATGAAGCAACAATCACCTAGTGTACAAGCATTCTCCACATATGCCCCTGGGGAGTCCTACATTTACTGCAATAGGTAAATTTCCCGGCACGCCTTTGCCTGCAACCACATGAATCATTGAAGCAATCAGCAAATCCAAAAACTCAATACAATTTAATGATAAAATTTAACTTTAGAACAAACCCAAACAAGTAAATTCAAAACACATGATATCTCTAGTTTAATAAAAATGACCTGCATTGGTGACAAGGTGGCCTTTCAAGATCATAAACCAGGTCACCATCCTCGTCTAGGCTATCAGCCTCCAAGGTCCAAATCGTCTCGCAATCACCCAAAAGCTTTTCATCTTCTTCAGTATAAACCTCGGTCGTCCATTCTTCCGGTATCGAAATTCCCATCTCTTTCAATGACTTCTCAGTCTCCATATCCTTCAACCTGCAAATGTTTACCATCAAAATCAAAAATCCGAACTTACTACTTAGTACAATTAATCAAGCATCAACCCAGCAAACTACTTTTTATGGATTACACCAATCATACACAAATTCAATCAGCGAATTCATATCTTTAATATTTCACCTAAAAATTTAATTTATTTACCTTCTTATATAGATTATATATGTACAGTAACAATTTATCTACTTTCAAACCAACTTCTGAAATCATATTTTATCACTTTTTTATCCCAAATTTTTGTATGTAAATCAACAAAACGTTTGTATGCCAAATAACGATGAATTAAATTACAAAAAATTATTTAAAAAAAAAAAAACACAAACGAATGGACAAAATTGGATAAACCCATCAAAAAAAAATCCCCAAATCTTTACATTTCAAAACTCTAAACAAAAAATCAACACAAACCCAGATAATAACAAAATTGAAGAAAAAAAATCAAAATTAAAAAACTTAAATGCAATTAAAACAAACCTAGAAGACCTCCTCGCATAATCATACGAACGATCGCGAACACGAGGATAAAGAGGAGGATAACGCTTCTTCTGAGGAGGAGGGTTTTTGCGACGAACCACCTTTTGATTACCATTAAAAACTTGAGAAGAAAGAGTAAAAATCCCTAATTTCTCCATCCTCTCTCTGTTTTCTCGAATCCTCTGTTCTCTAATCTTCTCATACTCAAATGAACTCTCATTTTCCTTATCAGAATCTGAGTTAAATTCAGATTCTGAAGAGGAAAAAGTCTCTCTTCTCTTAATGGGTTTTGAATTTTTCTGGGTTTTCTTCCTTTTTGGTGGGGTTTCAGAATCAGACTCAATTTGTGGTGCAATTGAAGGAACCCTTTTTCTCAAGGTCATCACCATTGTTGCTTGAACCAAGCTTTCTCTCTCTAAATTCTGGGGTTTTTCTCTCTCTAAAATGGAGTGTTTGAGTGTGTCAGAGAGAAGAGTGAAGGAATGAATGAAGGAAAATATAATTATTGCGAATATTTTGGTACTATGGCGCCAGAAGCTTCCCTTGCTTTATTTCACATTTTTCTAATTTTTTGGGGAAAGTAATTTTGGGTGAAAATTTTAAAAATGTGACAAATTTTAAAAATGGCGGTATGTGAAACTTTCGGCCTTCCTAATGCAATTTTTTTTTTTTTTTTTTTTCATTTATGGATTTATTTTTTTTTTTGGGATATTTTGGAGTTAAATAATGACACTAATTCAAGCTAGTTCACGATACTGTCGATATGACCTAATTTGAAAAATAAATGGCATAATACCAATAATATAGGGCATATTTAGTGTTTTTTTATTAACAATATATAGAGCATAAATAGTGTTGTTGTTTTTTTTTACACTGTTGACATTGTAGACGTGAGAAATTAGTATGTTTTAACTTAGGTATGACTGTATGATACATGTCATGAACTAGATAAGTAGACATAAGCATGTAAGTTAGCCAAGAGGGCAAGAGGCATGACACGGAATGACGGAATCATTTTTGTTGAGCTTTGTTGATTGGATTTGAGGTCTTCTTTAAGAGAAATTCAAATAGAATGGGTATCAAATTTAAAGGTGGAAAATGGATTGATTCAATGTAAGTCAAATCATCTTTGATTGATAAGTCATTTGACTTCGATCTAGTCAATTTTGTACATATCGAAACTTACGGAGTACATAAACAAGGACACGAGTGTTAATGTTAAGATGTTCTACGTATATTCTATAGTTTGATGAACAAAGACACAAAAATTCACGTTGAGCGTACATGAACATGAACAAGGACACAAATGTTAATAATATACAAGTAATTTGTATTCCATTATTTGATAAACAAGGACACAAGTATTTTAAGAAGATAGGGTCATAGGGATAGAGATTAAAACCCCCTGATCAATCGTACTGTCATGCGAAGTATTTTTATTTAGGGGCAAATATTAATGAAATTTATATAAACAAACACTCCATTAGAGTTGTTGGACTTGTAGCCTTGTAAGAACTAGGAGTATGTGGAGTTTTATACTGTTTGAGTTTTGAATCTTTTGACTATTCACGTTTTATCTATATTGGTATTGACATTTGACAAGATGATCAATTAAATTATTGAAAGCTGAAATGAAGTAATTATAATGATTTACTTACTCGTTTTTTGATACACATGCATTATCTGAAATTTTTTCCGCATATTAATATATACTCCGTATTACAGAGTAATTTTTATCATTAACATACCGTAATTAATTATATCTTACTTTTAAAAGTTGATATTATAGAAATATATATTGAAATAAATTTAACAATATTGTTTTCAGCAATTTCTATCTTACTCCTGGAGTATATAATACTAACTCTTGTGTTCTTCGAAAAAAAAAAAAAAAAAACAATATCGTAATTGATTATGTTTAATATACAAATCACAAAATATGGTCAAACCAAAACACGTGAGTACTAAGGCCTTGTTTAGTTCAACTTATTTTAACTTATTTCAAAAAAAAAAATAAGTTTAGATCAGAAAAAATAAGTTCAAATCTCATCATATCAAAAAAAATAAAAATAAAAAATCTCATCAGAAAAAATAAGTTCAAATCAAATCAGAATAAATAAGTTCAAATCAAATCAAATCAAATCAGAAAAATATGAAAATTACTACACATATTAATAAAATATACGTTAGTACAAATCTAACAAGACCCCACTAAATATATTTTTTCCTTACAGATTTCGTACATTTAAAGTCAAAATTTGGTCAAATCAAACAAAAATAAGGTGAACTAAATAAGCCCTAAGTTGTTTAGAAATTATTACTTAGTGATGCGAGTTAAAAAAACAAAAAATACTAATTTGAGAAAGAAAAACCTAATTTGATTCAATTTTATGACTTTTTATTAATGAATTGATTTGTTTCAAAATAAATAAAAAATAAAAAAAAATACTGCATAGATTTACTTTTTTTTTTATTTTTTAACACAAGGTTAACTAACATCAATTGTTCTACTTCATATTGTTTATTGCTATTTTGTGACAATAAAATACAAAACAATAGCAAGTTCATCATAAATATTATAATACTCCCTTTGATTTTATTTGTAATTCACATTTGGAAACGCCTAGTAAATTAAGAAAATTGATTCTAAATGAGAAAGTGACAAATATTAAAAAACAGAGATTATTATTTTATTTTTATTTTTTTTTTGAAATAAAATTGATTCATAAATAAAAGTCGTACGACATTTACAAAGGTGAAACGCTAAACATCGCCCGCAAATTACCATATAAAACCCACAAATATGATTTGGTGTGACCATTATGCCCATTTTCTAAAATTGAAATAATCTCGGTTTAAAAAATGTGGAGCCGTACTGGCTCGCCGGGGGAGACCGGAGGGCAGGCCGGAGATGCGGGGGACGCGGAGGTACGTCGTCGTCGACGGAAAACGAGGTAAGTCACCGTTAAAATTCACGGTTTACCGTCGGAGTGGCTCCGGCGCCTAGGATGGACGCCCAAACCGTAGCCTGGACGTCCAAGCCAGACGCCAGAACCACCAGAGTGGCGTCCAGCCCAGACGCCCAGACCACCAGACTGGCGTCCGGGCCAGGCGCCACTCTACTAGCTGAGGCGGCCCTGCCAGGCGCCAGTCCAGTGGCTGTGGCAGCCCTTGCAGACGCCACCCTTATAAATTATTATTTTTTTTCTTTTTTGATTTTGTTGTTGTTTTTTATTTATTTTTTTTTAAAAAAAAAATCGAAAATGATTTTTTAAAAAAATTCGAAATGGGTTTTTTTTTAAATTAATTTTGAAAATTCGAAATAGGTTTTTTTAAAATTAAGTTTGAAAATTCGAAATGGTATATTTTTAAATTTAGTTTGAAAATTCGAATTGGGTTTTTATAAAAATTAAGTTTGATTATATATAATTATGCTTTTTTTGTGTTAATTCTGTGTAAATATAGAAATTAAATGTATTATCCGTTAAATGTATTTATTGTAATATATAATTGATGCAGGAATATGGTGGAGACGGAAATGATTACAGTGGGATATTTGGACATGATGGTCCATTCGAAGAAGCTCAACAGGCAATTGATTGGGCAAAACAGGTTGCAATTGCAGCTGGATTTTGCTTGGTAGTAGTAACTCATAAATCTCAACGGGATGGTAGAATGGATCGCATTTTGAGATGTGACCGTTATCGCAAAAGAGAAGAAAGAGATTTTCGTACAGCCACTCGGTTTGATACAAAGCGGAAAGGTTGTGGGTGTGAGTTCAGAGTAAAGGTTCGACAACTACGGAGTCGTGATGGTTGGGAAGTGATTGGTTACTGTAAATGGGGGTATCACAACCATGAGATGATAGTATATGAAGAGGGTCATCGACAACTGAGCGGCTTAAGTCCTGCTACGAAACTAGTTGTGAAAGAAATGAGTGATGCTCAAGTCAAGCCTGCTAAAATATTAGCATCTGTGTTAGAGAAATTTCCAGAAGACCATCCAAACCGAAGACACATCTACAACGTCAGACAGCAACTCAGGTTTGAACGATCAGAGGGAAGGAACCCTATACAGCAGCTGCTACACCAGGCACAATCACGTGGTTACCTGTTCTGGTTCGATTCTGATGAAGATACAGCGGAGGTGACTCATCTTTTCCTTGTGCATCCTGATTGTGCTGATATGATCAAGTCTTGGCCATTTGTGATTTTGATCGACTCAACGTACAAGACAAACAAGTACAAGTTCCCACTGGTTGAGATCATGGGGATGACTCCAACGAACCAGAACTTTCTGATTGGTCATGCAATCATCAAGGATGAGACGGCTCCAAGTTATTATTGGGTGTTGGAGAAGCTGAGAAACTACATCGGCATGGTGGCAGGAACGTGACTCACCCCCGTGATCAGCGTACTGTCAATCTTATCGTGCATGGTGGCAGGAACGTGATTCACCCCAGTGCCCTCCAGTCGCTCGAACATCTCGCTCTCCGCCGGCCAAGTCTCAACCCATGTACGCAAAAAGCTACAAGTCTTTTCCCGGGTATGACATTTCAACAACCCCGTAACTGAAGGCCTCTCCTGGTCCTCCCAAATACGGGCAGCTATGTGTCCTAGAAAGCTAGGAATCACACTCCCGTCAACAGGCCCACCGGGCACCTCACTCCTAACAACCCAAGAATCATTACCGGCCCTCGACCGTTTCCTGCTTGCCCCAGATACAGTGGACGCAGATGATGTGCCAGATCTACTAACAAACCTACCACCCCTACCCTTACGCACCTCCACCATATGTGTCTCGTACATGTCATCAACCCTCTGACTGAATGGACCGTAATCATCATACGGTCCACTGCCATCGTCCACATCCTCATCCTCATCTGCGCCCTCCTCCTGCTCCTCCTCCCGGTCACCCTCCTCAGCATCATCATCGTCATCCTCATCCCGACGGTGGATCCGTTCTCTACGAGCTGAGGCCGAAATACCACGGGATCTGACATGTCTATGCCCCGACCTCTCCACTGAATAGCTTCTACTAAGAAGCTCTACATTCTTCCCCGCACCATGACGACCCAGTGAATTCTACACAAAATTTTAAAATATATAAACATACAAAAATTTATACGAAAAATAGCTACCACTACCCAAATCAAATAAACTAAAACATACAAATAATTGTAAACAAAATATAAACATAGAAAAAATACAACAAAATTAAAAAAATTTATAAAAATAAACAACAAAATATAAAAACAATTCAAAAATATATTACACAAAAAAAAACAATATTTTAAAACAAATATAAAAAAAAAAGGGGGGGCGCCTTGGCTGGACGCCCAGCCAGCGGTGGCGGCGCTAGCTGCAGACGCCGCCACCAGTGGGCTGGCGCTAGCTGCAGACGCCGCCACCAGTGGGCTGGCGCCTGGGCTGGACGCCACAGCCACGGCTGCGGCGCCTTGAATAAACGCCACAACCGTGGCTATGGCGTCCAGCCCAGGCGCCAGCCTACTGGTAGCGGCGTCTGCAGCTGGCGCCACCACCGCTTGCTGGGCGTCCAGCCAGGGCGCCCCACCTCCGT